CAGGATCTAGGCTGCATTTGATTGATAAAGATGTGTCTTACTTCAATTTGTCCCAGCTCATCTGAACCCTTTTAAGCTGGTCGGGTCCCTCCTGTGCATCTGGGATATAGTTGTAAATCCATAAAGTATAAAGAGGATATAGAAAGGAATATAAGGAGAGAATCCATCATAGACATCTTCTCTGTGACTGGCAAGTGCTATTAGAATTTAGAGCCCTCGCTACACAAGTATAAGGAAGAGACTGATCCCATGGTTCAGGATCTTACCTTGACTTGTACTTTCTATGCTCCATCTGGTGTTTATGCTAGCCAGCCCTTTCAGAGATTGCAGGATCTACTTTCCATCATTACCCATCCTTCTTTTTTTTTTTTTTTAATCAACATGGCTGTTGGCTCTGCTGTGCAGTTAGCTGCATCATAAACATATTTAGATGGTCTTTGCTGAAATTACCCTCTTTGCGAAGTTTTCTGCTTGATATATTTCAGCAGATCTCCTTAAGTAACACCTTTTTTTTTAATTAGCAATTGTTTTACTGTTTATCAATCAAGCATTCCTACCTATCCTAGAAGAACATCCACTTTTTTCAGACTAATTTGTTTTTTCAAATATGTCAAATATTGTGATTATTTTAATCCCTTTAATTTACACCTGAATTATTCAGACTTTAACAGTTTTGTCCTGATGTCACCCTGTATTTTTCGGTCAAAATCTTTAGTTACCATATTTTAAATTCTTCTTGTTGTGCATAATCACATCTTATGTTTCTAAGGTCTAGTCAAACTAAATGTTCAGTTCTTAACTAGTGCCAAATGTTCTTACAGAGAGACAGTTTATATTGCTGAAAAAATACTATAATCAACAACTAGAAATGAATAAAGCTGTATAGAAAAATATCTACTACAGCCAAAACAGGTATGAATACAAGCTTTTTGTTCCAGTGTTCCTAACAATGAATAAAATCCCGCTGACCTATATGAATTTTCTTTAACTCTTTTTTTCTAGAATCCAATTAAATAAACATGTATTCTTCCTTCTTCATCTTGCAGATTATTAAAAATTATGCTGTACCTTTGAAACCTATCCATTCCTCCTGCCTTACTTATTTGAGACCATACATTTGATAGTGCAATTCTCAAAGAGAATGGGGGGAAGGTCTCATCTAATTCAGAGGATTTCAGTTTCTTAATTTGAGCAGGCCTCATGCTAATAAAGATTATTTTGGGTGCCAGTTTTTGTTTACTAATCATAAACCATTACTGTGGTATGGGGAAAAAAAGCACCAAAATAATTTTATGTATTTTAAATTATCTTTTAATACTGTTTATTTGCCTGAAAACAAAAAATGAAGAACAAGTGCTATAGACTGACCTGCACTGACATCAATGTATTTTTGATTAGGCCTGATATAACTATGAGCACTTCCTCATATTTGAGAATCTTCTTTACATTTATCTCAGTTCACAGCTAGAACTGGATTTTAATAATGACTTATACTACCTCCGTATGTGGTAAAATTATCTTGATTCTTTTCCTCAAATCCCTTCTTTTCTACCTGGAAAACAGGGCAATGATACAGATTCTTCCTGTGAGAATAAAGGTGAGTTAGAAGAGTTAAAAGGAAGTTTGCGTAAAAGCTAAAGTATAGCAAATAGTTGGCAGATTTCAGCAGTAGGTGCTCACCTGTCCTAAAACCACCAGAGAAAACTAAAAATCATAGAAATGTTTTTTTGAAGGTAACACTGGAACAGTTGCCCTTATGAATTAATTGTACTAAATGTGTCGGATTGTGCAGGGTGAACACTAAATACATTAACTATGCATGTTTGCTGAGGAAAATGAGCACTTCCTCATATTTGAGAATCTTTTTTACATGAGAATGAGAATGCAAAGCATTACAAAAAGAGCTTATTATTACTGAGATTTTTTTAAGACACCAAACAAACTTCAGTTTACTCAATTACTGTATCGCACAGGAGGAAGAAAAGGGCTGAGTTAATATATGTGGATATAATCTAATACTAACTGTTTAATGATATGTCACGTCACATATGTCAATAGCGACATTATATCAAAAGTTATAATATGTTATAATTAAATTAAATTAAATAATAAAGATAACCTTTCTAAATTTTCTTTTTAATCCGGGGCACTGAAAGAAAAGCACTGAAAGACGCTGCAGAGTTTGACAGGCATATTTTAGTACATGGTTGAACCATCCAGGTGGGGCCTGGGTGAAAATTTCTCACTTCAGAATTTCCATAGGCAGAGGTGGAAGTCACAAGGGGAAGGCACAGGTCTGAAAACTGTGAACATATACAAGTACTGCAAAATCATACAGAGAGAGCAGGGTGAATGTCGTCTCCAAAGACAAATTTTCCTCAAGTAAAGAAAAAGTGATTTCAATAACTGATGGAAATATAACTTACACTAGCAAAGGAAATTAACTAACCACAAGATACACATGGAATAAAACCTATTACAGTAAGCACGCCAAGCAACCCTTCGTCCCCACAAAACATGAAAATCAGAGGGAAAGGGAGAAAAAGATTTACACATCGTCTCAACAGGCAAGCAGAACAGCGATAACTCGAAGCAGATAATGTATGGACACTTTCTCAGACTGAGAAACCCAACTAATGACTCTAACACAGAGAATTTACAAGTCATTATAACAATCACTTAAGACGAATCTTCTTTGCCAGTCTTACGAAGAGCATAAATCTTAATTCAAGTTAATGACTTAGAAGCAAATCCTGGGGAAGAAGCAAATCCTTCAGGAAAGGCCTCTGTACCATACAATAGCTATCCAAGAGCTTAGTGTCAAAACCCTCTGCTGCAGTTGGTCAGCTTGCCCAGGCAGCTGGTCTACAGCAGTTAATACAGCTGGTAATAGGCTGACAATCATCTCCTTTCCCTCCCTGTAGAGTTCTGACACTTTCTCCTGGAGGATTTCAGAAGCCTGTTTTGATATTTCAAATTTATTTTTTTCGCAATGATAAATACAGCACTGCTCTCCTCATTTATCATTGAAATCATTCAGTGTCTCAGATGATCCAATGTTTGGCCCCTCGCGGTTGCTGAGGGACCTGGAGCCATGTTTTTGCAGGGCAGGTTCCTTTCCTGCAGCTTTATCGTTACAGTTCATGATCTGACATTACAGCAGAAGAATATTTGCTTCCGCTGGATTTTATGACAAACACTGTATTCATCATCATTTCCTGCACCTATTAGACGGTTCCATTTACCAGATCAACAGGATGCTGCCTCTAGAATGATGTTAGAAGGAGTAACATTTGCCTGTTGCCTTTGGTTTATAAACTTCTAACTTTTATGCAAAATATATGATAATCAAGCAATTAACCTTTTTCCCTGTCAGAATACCACCTATTTCATAATTTATTATTATAATTTCTACTCTGTAAACATTGGATGATCTTAAATAAAAACCAGACAATACTGACATACATGGGACAGCTTCTCCTACCCTTAACTTTAAGTAGCTTTCTTTTTGCAATATTACATTTCTCTATTATTTTACTCTTATATCCACCCATTTTTTAAAAAAAGTTTAATTAACACAGTACCAAGTAGTTAAGATAATGTTTTTACCTTCCTTTCCTCTTGACTGTTCTCCAAAGTATTTTCTTCAGTCAATTTATCATGATTGAGGCTATACCTATGCCATCTTTCTCACATTTTCCACCTTTGAAAATTTTTCAAATACATCTAGATTTTATCCCTTTCTTTCAGAGCAATTCTTTCAACAAGATATATATTACATGGAAATAGAACAAAAAGACATTTATAAATTAACTTTAGCATCATTATTACAGTCTATGCAAACACTTGGAAGATAAGCTAATATATACTGATGGTTTCATTCAAATGATCTTGAAAAATGGCATTACTTCAGCTCATGCAAATGTATACCTTTTATTTTTATTCCTAACACTTTTACAGGAAATTAATTTGTTTTGTTATATATTACTGAACCACAAATACTTGGGCATTAGGATCAAACACGTTTTGAATGTTTGCGTGATTTTTAAGATAGGGGAGGTTTTGTTCTGGAGGCTATTTTGACATCCTAGAAGCGTTTCCATTTTTTTATAACTGAATAATTTCATAAACAAAACTTAGCCTACATCCTTGACTCCCACTCACCGATTTCACTATTTTCTGCTGAAGCTGTTCCACTTTGCAAGGAATAGGTAAAGATCTGTTAAGATACAAAGAACCAGATTGTCCATGACACTGTTGTCCAGTGGTGAAGAAACAGTGAGAAAGACCTATTTCCTGGTCACTGCAATTAATGCTTCAGGCTGAGCCAGAGATGACTACTCTGCAGTGGGCTGCAGAGTGAAAAAAAGGACAGCAGAAAACATCGCTTTTTTCAAAGATGGTGAAAATTCTGTTCAGCTTTTGAAAGAGTTTCAGTGTTTAGTTTCTGTGAACCTTATGTAAGGCTGTGAACCTTATATAAAGGCAGAGGTACCCGGAAGCCCAGAGCAAAGATCACAACACCTAAAAAAGGTGCTGATTTAAAGTGCAGCTATCCTTCATACTACCTGTTGACTAGCATAGGCACAATTTGCCACTGTGAGTTGATATAGATATCCTTCACTTTGCCTAAGATCCAGATAGGTACTTACTGAAGCGCTGTTAATTTCAAGTACTTAAATGTCCTTTATAGATCTAACCCAAAGTCTCATCTTGAGAACAAGATTTAGGCTTTTCAAGCTTTTAAGCTGTATGACCTGGAGCTCATGTGATGAGCTAGAAAAAGAATAGTTACAAGTCGCTTGAGCCTTAGCTCTCCAATGTGATCACAGAAGGGCTCTCCTCAGTGCATGAATTCAGTCAGAATGGTGACAACACAAGCACGGTGGAACACAAAAAGCTTTGAGGTTCATGATCATTTTCAGACATGATCTTGCAGTGCAGAGCTACTGCGTATGCAATGTCTATTCATGTACATGTTTACATTTTATCTTTTCTAGAAATCCCTAATAAAATAAATCGTGGTGAAGTCAAACATCTTGCAGATACCTCAGGGTCAGATAAAACAGAAAGAACAACAAAGAGGTCCAGAGTGTCAACCATAAGGCGGATATTTGACATGGCAAAGCATCGAACAAAGAGGTCACCTTTCTTCCCAACTGGTGTGAAAGTTTGCCCGCAAGAATCAGTAAAGCAGATACTAGCAAGTCACCAAGCTTACTATAGATTACGAGGTAAGATGATTGTACCATGTGCCTCCTCAATAGCCCTCTATATTTGATTATTTCCTCACTCCTCCTTTCTCTCAGCATTTCATTCTGCATCAGTTCCAATTTGCATTTTAAAATTGCTTATTTTGGGGCTGCAACTAGGGATTCTAACTAAAACCTACTCAGAACTTCTGGGATGCAAGTAGTCTACATCTATTCTCTTAAATAATGTAGTTCATCTATCTGTTCCTCTGTATGTGTTTCTCCAACAACTCACATACATGTGTATGTTATTTTGCTGCTCCTGAGCTCTCTTTCATGGAACTAACTGGTTGCCTCTGAAATGAAATCTGTGTGATAAGTTGGGAAAATTGTTCTGCAGCAGCTACTTTCTATAGGCAGACTACACTGCCATTTGGGGGTAACATGAGAACATGCACAGTGAGCTACAACATCTCTTCAGCTGGCCATGTGTCATGTTTATATAAAACATAATAA